ATATATATATATATATATATATCTATCTGTGAATGGTAAAACGGGACAGTATAACTAGAGGAGTGATGTCAAGGAGGACCGAGAAGAAATTATTTAGGGCCTCTCTTGTATAAGTGGGGACCCAGCAGGGGTCCCAATGAAGAAAAACATGTTCATTTAAACACTGGCATGAGGTCTTTCAGAATATACGAGGCTGTATTATTAATAGAAAACACTCCATAGATCTGTTATATAGACGGGCACAAATATAGACATATAGATCTATCTAACGTAAGTGTATAGATTGATATATGTGTGTATACTATATATATATCTAGAATTTAAGATTATATTTAGTATGGATACCATTTAAAAGGTAGTTGTATTTATAACTGTATAGAGAAAGAAATATACATATACAGAGTTATTGAATAAAGTGAGAATTCAAAGTGAATAGAAAATGAATTTAAAATTCTAGGCTGCAATAGATAAACTGAAAACATAGGAGACTTTTTCCACTTTAATTGCCAGCTATTACCCAATTTAATCAATATCCCAGAGGAAGATAAAGACACACTGGAAAAATATATAGATAGTAAAGATATATAGAGCTTATAGAGACACTCTAGGCACCACTGAAATGATTATGGTACTTTGTAGTCCCCTTACATAGCCCACCGTTCGTTGGGTTTTGATAGGTTTAAAACTGAAGTAGGGGTCCCCAGCCACCTGCAGCCAGTCCCTCTCTGCTGCTTAGCCAGAGCGGTTTTGGGAGGCGATGATAGGCTGAGACACATGCAATGTATGCTAGCTATACCCTCGAGCAGAGGCAAGGGCAGCCCGGGTCCTCATTCAGTATCAAAATGAATGAAAATAGTTTAACACTGAACAGAGTGTAGCTTTAAATGTTTATGTAAAATGATGACACCTAAGGCAATGTGTATTTGCAATAAGATGCAAAACATAACAACCCCTCACTATGAAAGTAAGAAGAATTGTTACTAGTATGAATGGGACACTGTAGGCACCGTAGCTGCTTCATCTCATTGAAGTGGTTAAAGTGTATGGAGTCCCCTGGTGATGTCCTTCCATTCGACTTTTAGCCGTTTTTAATGGTTTAATGTTAAACAACAGCCGTCAGCAGCCCTTCCCCTCACTGCTGTTTGAGCTAATGAGAAAGCATTAGATTGAGCAGCAATGGGCGACTGTGATTAACTGACATAGTGAGCTGATCGCATTCAGCCTATCACAGCAACGATTGATGGTATAAATTGGTATGGTTAGAAGGGAGTGTATAATCGCTTAGCCATACCTCCAGTAGTGGTCGGGTTGTGTATGGCCAGGGATCCTTATTTAGCCTTAAACTGCTTAAAAATGGTTTAATACTGAATTGACGGCAGCGCCAGAGGGCTTCAAGCCAATAACCAATTGAATGAGCTTAAATTGTCATAGTGCCTACAGTGACCCTTTAATAATATCAAAGCTGGTTTGCCTTGATATTATGTGTGCTCTTGTTAGTGCTTGCTTCATAATGTTACTGCAAAATGACCAGTATTTTTATCTGGATACAATTCAACCCACATTGGTCTTTATTACTTTATTAATGCATTTTTCACTGAACTGCCCCAACTTGCCTTCAGCAGTGTGTTGCTACAAGTCCCCAAATACTCTATGAAACACCACTGTTGGTGCTACCATAGACATGGTGACAAAATCTTCAATAATTTTCTGCTGCTTCAAGCTTTTCTTAGCCATTGTATAAAATGCATTGATTATAACATGGTGTATGTTTCCACAGGTCATTAAAGGCAAAGTAAATATTCAAGTTGGTGATGTCAACGACAACGCTCCAACATTTCACAACCAACCCTACACTGTGCGCATTGCAGAGGTACATCTGACTTGACAATACATTGTGTGAATATGAGAATGTTAGATTTTTGGAGTTTGTATACTTTCACAGCAAATAGCATATAAAATATTAGGCCAGTGTTTAATTATTGAAAAAAAGTTTCACTTTTTTTAACCTTCAGAAATCTTAACATTTAAAGGTGAATTGTCACTACCCATGATTTTCGATATCATATCTACTTATTTCTATAATGAATAAATATGTATTTTTTTACATGTAGAAAATTAAATTGAATATAAAAATTAAACCCATTTTTCCTCCAAATGGGCGACGGCATCTTAGCTCCCTGTCAGTCATTGCTATATGTTCTGTTTTTTGCATTTGGCAGTTAGAATAGAGAAAACATTCAGAGAAGAGGGACAATGTAAGTGTTTTCAATTCTCCTATTCGTTTGCAATGCTCACCCTTGCTTTGCCTTGTCTGAACTGGATTATGATCATTTGCAATTATTTTATAAATTTAACATAAAACAGAGGAATGCCTGCTATGTAACAGCAATGTATTTTGCATTCTATAAAAAATTTTTATTTAAATAAAAATTGAAATGTGAAGAAAAATGGTGCAGGCGTCACATAAAAAAGTTAATAAAAGTCATAGGTGATTTTCAGTGGTTTAAGTCAATGGTGTAAATTCCATAGAATGACGCCAAGTTAAAGATGTGGCACAGCATATATATAGGTAATGTAATTATCAAACAAAATGTAATATAATGTAGGGAATTATTTTTTCTTATATGGTGGTCCTTGTTTACAAACCATACCATATTGACACCCAGCATAAAATGTATTTATTGTATTTTTTTGATTTAGAGCACTACATTGCTACTCAGATAGCTCGAGCATGGGTTAAGCCAATGACATAAAAGAAAGCCAAACGCAAAATGCTCTGTGAGACTCAGAACATTATAAATCTGGGTACAATCAGGGGTTGAAGGGTTTGAGGAGTGTGAAGAGGGTGGAAGGATGAATCTTCGCCTGTGTAGCCAAATATCCTGAACTTGAGTGATGGCTAAGGTCAACTTATTATGTATTTTGTAGTGATTGCGATAGAAAGGGAGAAGGCTTAAAAGGATAGTATTGGTATCAAAACAAGTTTAGTTTAATGAAGTAGTATTTTTGTATAGATTATGTATCTCACTGCTCGATTTTCTGCAATTTAGGAATTAAATCGTTTTAGTTTTTGTTTATGCAGCACTAGCCTTACCTACCTTGTCTGTGACTCACAGAGCCTACATGAAAATTAAAAGGCTTACTTTTGTATCAGATTTTAACTTACTTTATCTCCTGCTCTGTAAATTGAACTTTAATCACACACAGGAGGCTCCTGCAGAGTCTAGAGGACTATTAACAGAGCAGGAGATAAGACATTCTAAATTAAACAGACAGTGCAATAAAGGAAGTTTAAACATTAGATGTCTCTTTAGAGGAAGTGTTTAGAAAGGCTGTGCAAGTTACATACAGGGAGGTCTGACTAGGGATGGATAAACAAAGTGATTTAACTACTAAATGGTAGACAATTAAGTCCTGATTTATACACCAAAACTGCTTCATTAACCTAAATTTGTTCTAGTAACTATAAGCTAGTTAACTTTCTGAACTTTTACCATACCACTAACAGAATACTTTTTAATGAAAATATAAAATAAATAGCCAATGACTTGATTCCAAATTAGGTATTTGCTTGTTTTTCTCTTGTTCTCTTGTTCTCTTTTCTACGGGTAACCCTTGGAGGCTAAAAAATGATACAAGTATTACGAGTAGAGTTGAGCGAACCCGAACGGAAAAGTTCGGGTTCGTACCGAACATTAGGTTTTTTGGACCCCGGACCCGAACCTGGACATATCACTGTATGTTCGGGTTGGAGTTCGGTGTTTGGTGACTTAATGGCGCATTTTGAAAGGCTGCAGGCCAGCCAATCAACAAGTGTTTGACTCGTGTGCCCTTAGAAGCCATACTAATGGCTTGGCTGTGATTGGCCAGTGCAGCATGTGACCCAGCCTCTATATATAAGCTGGAGTTGCGTAGCGCCACACATCACATGCAATCTTATCAGTGTAGGGAGAGGATGCTGCCGCTGATAGGGACAGCTTAGGAAAGAATTCTGCAAACTAGTACATTAGTGGGGTGGGGTGCACTTCATATCTGAGAGTCAAATAGAAGCTTCAAATACAGCGGTTACATTGGAGTTTTAAAACTTAAATTTTTCTGGGTGCTAAAAAGTACATTAGTGCTCTGAGAGTCAAATAGAAGTGTCAAATACTGTGCTTACTGAGCAGTGGTAAACATTCTAATTGTTTTGCTGCTAATCTGCTAAATAGTACATTTTGGGGCCTGTTCTTCACATGTGAGAGTCAAATCGAAGCGTCTAATAGGGCGCTTTCTGCGCACTTGTAAACATTCTAATTGTTTTGCTGCTAATCTGCTGCTTACATTGGAGTTTTAAAAAGTTCCCTAGCGCTCGTCGGCATGTATTGACTCGAGAATTACCAGTTATCCAAGTAATACATGTAGCGATCAAAGGATCCATAATAGAGTTGAGCGAAACCGAACTGCAAAGTTCGGGTACGTACCAGATTTAACGATCCATTCGTAGTTTCACAGTGAGGTGGGCAGTCCGGTGACCAGGACCCAGACACAGTCTGGGCGGCGGTCAGACGACCGGGATCCAGTATGCCTGATGTTAAAGTTAGGAGTCACAGTGTGGAATGGATTAGCAGGGTCTGGTGCAGGGTAACCGCACGCCCCCTGGTGTTGAGCACCAGCATTTGTGCGTCCACATACCAGGACCCTGATGCAGCTTCAGTAAAAAGAGTACTTGATACCAGAAGCCATCACCAGATTGATCCGCAACTTGGAACAGGATGTGACATTCACTGTAGTGGCTGTGCACGCTTCTGGCATTGTCACCCTGCTGCTGCTCGCCTCTCTGTGCTGTAGAGTAACTTCGGCCTTCCTGCTCACCGCCTCATGAGACTTTGCGAGTTTCAGCTGCAGCACGCATGAGTCAGTGGCTATGCACCAGACTTCCCTCCAATTGATCAGAGTTAAAGGATTTCAAGTGGATTTATTACAATTACAGGGCCTCTAAATAGTCCTGTATTGTTATTTGTCATCACTACCTTCTCGCGTCGGGAGTGGGTCATTTGCTCGCCTGCTGCCTTCCTTGCATGTGAAAGCCGTTTGTCAGGGTCCCTGTAAGGAATGCAACCCTGATTCCCGTTACCCGTGGTCACCATGGTAGGCACAGAAACTGGCATCGAAAGTTGATATGGATGACATCCGCATGCAAAGTCACCGCCACGGGGATGTGCGATTTGCCGGAGGTTCTCTAGAGTCAACAAAGTTCCTGCACAACTATAATGTCAACAGCTACTCTGCGGAACAGAGTTGTCTTTTTTTACATGTCCCAATATTTTGGGGGCTACTCCAATTAAAATATATATATATGTATATATATATAAAACCAGTGTTGGCTGCCTCATCCTCCTCCTCCACCGCCACGGTCACCGCCTCCTCAATCTATGGGTCACTTAGTATAAACTAGGTACACATTACCAGAGGCTTGTGAAGGCTTTTTCTCCATGCATCAGAAGTTGAGCATTTCTCCATGCATCAGTACTGCAAGAAATTCACGGCAGGCCGCAAATTTTTCTTTATTTGTATGTCCCAATATTTTGTGGGCTACCACAATAATATAAGAAAAAAAACATAAAATACAGTGTTGGCTACCTCATCCTCCTCCTCCACCGCTGCTTCCTCCTCCACCGCCACGGTCACCACCTCCTCAACCTATGGGCCACTTAGTATAAACTAGATACATATTAGCAGAGGCGTGTGAAGGCCTTTTCTCCAAGCATCAGGAGTTGAGCATTTCTCCATGCATCAGGACTGCAAGAAATGCACCGCAGGCCGCAATTGTTTCTTTTTTTTGTATGTCCCAATATTTTGGAGGCTATCCCAATTAAAATAAAAAATATATATATAAAACACCTACACCGCCACGGTCACCGCCTCCTCAACCTATGGATCACTTAGTATAAACTATGTACACAATAGCAGAGGCTTGTGAAGGCCTTTTCTCCATGCATCAGGAGTTGAGCTCAGTTTGAATAATGAAAGAGAATACCCTGCACTCCAACCCTCTCTCAAATGGATAATTCTGGTGATCCTCCTGACAGCCATGTTTTAGATTTTGATTTATGTTCTTCCAAAGCTAAACTCAAAGATTCCATCTAGTGCTATTTTATGGCTCAGCTGTATTTAAAATTTTTATGTTATTGGAAGTGATTTCCCTATCCACATTTGTTTGCAGGGCACTTGTCCTACTCTTAGCCCCATTTTACTTGCTTTTGCAGCTCTAAATGGAAAGTTTTAAACCTAAACCATAGGCTGTTAATGTGGTTTATAATTTATCTTATCAATACAATTTTAAGTACAATTTCACTTACTAGTAAATCTGTCTACCAACCAACTGGTCTTTAATGAGTAGCTGGAATGGTAGCTGTTAATACTGATTACTACAGCTGCAAGATCCTGAATTGGTGTTATTTAATATGTCCATTGAGAGAAATATTCTGCTGTTGACTAAATTATATACCGGTAGTTCAAGCATCGAGTGCTATTTGCTTAGACACATTGCCATTGATTCCACTAAACACCTGCCTGCCAACTGCTAAAACTTTAACCAATAAAAACCTATGGCAAGTAAAGCAAACTTTAAAATGTGATGCGAGGGTTCCTAGTCCCCTCTATTAAAAACAAGAAATGAGGGGTGGTCTTTAATTTGTAACCAGCTTAAGAGGAGCAGTTAGAGCTTACTTAAAGGGGCAATGTTGGCACCATGAACTTTACAACATTAATGGTTGTGATGTAATGAGCTGATTTTGTATGACAATGCAGAGGATGATACTACAACAGTATGCAAAGATAACCCTTTTGTGAAGAATTTTATAGGTTGAGTTAAGAAGTGTATGTGCGATAACTATGAGTTAGTAAGAGGTTGTTTCTAATTGACTCTAAAAGGTTGTTTCTAATTAACCTATACAAAAGCTATACATTAAAGTGAGAATTCAAAGTGAATTTTCAATTTTAGTTTCAAGTAACCAAAATGGAAGAATACTTGAGTTTTGGTTTCAGATTTGAGCTATTTTTACTTCGATTTTTACCGCTTTTCTTATAAAATACTATATTTTTTCCACTATAATCCTGCAGTTAAAGAAATGAAAGAGTTAAAATAAAAAATCTGTCCTCCTGATTATCGAATTTGATAATTAAATTTGCTCGTCAGCTTCCGTGGTCACCTAATAACTAAATACGGTTTGTGTTTGTTGAGATGGAGTGCTAATTAATGGATGCAACAGGGACTGCTTAAATTCCTAGCCCCCCAAGGGCTTCCAAACATATCAACCCCTCCTCTCAATGCTCACACAAGGGTTTCCAAACATGTCAACCCCTCCTCCTCTCAATGCTCCCCAAAGGGCTCCCAAACATGTCAACCCCTCCTCCCAATGCTCCCACAAGGGCTGCCAAACATGTCAACCCCTCCTCCTCTCAATGCTCCCACAAGGGCTCTCAAACATGTCAACCCCTCCTCCTCTCAATACTCCCACAAGGGCTCCCAAACATGTCAACCCCTCCTCCTCTCAATGCTCCCACAAGGGTTTCCATACATGTCAACCCCTCCTCCTCTCAATGCTCCCCCAAGGGCTCCCAAACATGTCAACCCCTCCTCTCAAGGGCTCCCAAACATGTCAACCCCTTCTCTCAATGCTCATGCTAGGGCTCCCAAACATGTCAACCCCTCCTCCTCTCAATGCTCCCACAAGGGTTTCCAAACATGTCAATCCCTCCTCTCAATGCTCCCACAAGGGCTCCCAAACATGTCAACCCCTCCTCTCAATGCTCCCACAAGGGCTCCCAAACATGTCAACCCCTCCTCCCAATGCTCCCACAAGGGCTGCCAAACATGTCAACCCCTCCTCCTCTCAATGCTCCCACAAGGGTTTCCAAACATGTCAACCCCTCCTCCTCTCAATGCTCCCCCAAGAGCTCCCAAACATTTCAACCCTCCTTTCAATGCTCCCACAAGGGCTCTCAAACATGTCAACCCCTCCTCCTCTCAATGCTCCCACAAGGGCTCCCAAACATGTCAACCCCTCCTCCTCTCAATGCTCCCACAAGGGTTTCCATACATATCAACCCCTCCTCCTCTCAATGCTCCCCCAAGGGCTCCCAAACATGTCAACCCCTCCTCTCAAGGGCTCCCAAACATGTCAACCCCTTCTCTCGCTGCTCATGCTAGGGCTCCCAAACATGTCAACCCCTCCTCCTCTCAATTCTCCCACAAGGGTTTCCAAACATGTCAATCCCTCCTCTCAATGCTCCCACAAGGGCTCCCAAACATGTCAACCCCTCCTCTCAATGCTCCCACAAGGGCTCCCAAACATGTCAATCCCTCCTCTCAATACCTGAAAATATGTCCCACCCCTGCTTTTTGGAGAACTGTTATGAAGGGGGACAGAGAAACAAAAATCAGAACTTGTTCACGAATTCTGCTTGCATTATTCATCTACTACATTCATTTCTCACTATGGTTAATTAAAATAACCCTTTCTAAAACTCTGTTTAACTCATGTCTCGCACGTCTTGTGAAGTTATCATTCAGCGTGATACAGATGACACTGACAGAACACTTATCTCTTTGCCAGATAGACAAGACACAGATGCATGCTGATGGTCTGATTTCCTTGCAAATTCACACTAGAAAAAGTAAGAATCACTGATTACTTAATAGGAAGTGATTACAGTTTTCTTGCTGTTAATATTGTGTATACAGAGAGCAATGTTTGGGGAGCCCTCGGGGACCGAGGTAAACATGTAGGTATACAGGTGACATGATAAGACTCAAAGCAATGCAGGAACCTCTCCAGTACTCACAGAAAATAGGTGACCTGGAATTATGAATCTGTGGCTCATAAATAGATTCTCATGTTTCCCAAGCAAATAGATGGAAGTCTAAAATGACTCTAATGTAACTGTAATCTAGGAAGCTGATGTTTAAACATGTTATACAGTTGGCACATTAATGGAATACTATAGTGCCAGGAATACAAATCTGTATTCCTGGCTCTATCGCTCCCCCTGCCTCCCCCTCCCCCCCCTCATGCAACCCCCCTCAGAGTTAAATTAAGGGTTTTAAGACCCTTTATTTACTCACCTGATCTCAGCACCGATGTCCCTTGGCGCTGGGTTGATGCTCCACTTTCTCTCTGTGTAGGTGCTAATGCGCATGCATGGAAAATGATATTCCTATGGGGAAAAATCTGACGCCTGATGTCCTCATGCAGAGCGTGAGGACGTCCAGCATCAGATACCAGACCAAAGGTCCATTACGATCTTAAGAAGCCCTCTAGTGGCTGTCTGGTATCCTTAGAGGCAGACTTAGTTTCTCTGGAAGTGCAAAGTTTTACATTACAGCACTAGGTGCAAAAGGGACACGGCACACAGACCACTTCAATTAGCTGAAGTGGTCTGGGTGCCTATAGTGTCCCTTTAATCAGAAGAGATACCTCACAGCCATGGTATGAAGTTGGAGGACATTCACAGTTTTGTATCCCTTGGCTACTGTGCCAGTTTTCTGGAACCCTTCTGGAGACAATAGTGATAAAGATATCCGTTCAGAAAAGAACGCCAAATTTAGAGTGGTACAAAGGAAAAACATAAGAAATCTTTTACGGTGGGAAATAGTGACAGTAAAATTGATTTTTCCATTCCATTGGCAAAAATTTGCCGTATATTCAAAAATGAGGGTTCGTGTGCAAAAGATGCAACAGACGGAAAAAAAAACCCTGACATATTTAATAAATTACAGTAAAACAACAAATAGGTTTTAAAAAAATTTCAACACCGTCTGTGACACTTGCTAAATCGCCACCATTTAATTATCAAACTTGTGCTGCCTTCTTTAAAGTCATCAAAATGTTATTTATAGTTTCTAAATGTTAACCCCTCCTGGGTCAGGCTGCTTTCTCGAATTTAGGACTGGCTTGGGCCAAATTATTATTATTATTATTATTATTTGGTATGCCTAAGGAATTTGATGCACCTTTACATTTTCTCCATTCACAGACTAGAAGCAAGCTGATTGCTTGTTTTCCCCTTTAGACCCCCAACCCCTTGCTCTCTGTACCTAGTCTAACACTCAATAAAGCTGCACGCTATTGTTCTGTGTTTGACTCATTCATGGTGATCAAGATGTGTTGACCTACGGGTCTGCAAACTGTTGATCCACCACATAGTACTCGCACCTCATGTACGATGAGGTTAAACTGTGATCAGCGTGGATGAGATTGACAGGGCTTGAAGGTTACTGTGCTTTTCTTATGAGTGATTGCAAGTTTGTACATCTGTGTCTGCCTGTGAAATCTAGTTGTCTTTGGTAATTGAGTGCTACAAAAGGAACAGCTCTTTAATATGCTATCAGCTTGCACCCTACTGCAACAGCGCTTTGATCTTCTCTATTCGT